ATGTGATTAGCTGTGACCCAATCACAGCTAAGCACAAAAAAAAAAAAAAGCTGAATGAATCGATTTCATTCAGGTAAATGCTTGCTTATAGCAAAGTAATTCTTTGCTATAAGCAAATTGTGTAAAAAAAAAAAATACTGATCATTCCCTAAAGTAGTACAATGTTACTATGGTAACATTGTACTACTTTGGTCATAAGTAAAATATGAAAAAAAAATCTTAAAAAAATAAAAAAAAATGTAATAAAAAATTAAATATAATAAAAAAATAAAAAAAATATAAAAAAAAAATATATTTTTTTTTTGTTTCATACTGTGACCAGTCAGTTGGTCCCTGTTCACCGCCACCGCCATGCCAGTTTATATGATGACGCTGTACTGCACTGGTGACAGTATGTAAAAAAAAAATAGGTGAAATAATTTTTTTTAATTTTTTTCATTTTCCGAAAAATTATGACAAAAAAATAACTTCAAAAAACTGCCATGCCTCTTATGAAGTACGTCAGGACTGTCTTACTCAGCAAAAAAGGGGTCATTTGGGGATATCTTCGTACTATTCTGACATTCTTGGACCTCAAGAAATTCAGATTGGCTGTCAGTACTTTCAGGAGTGAAATCAATATTCAGAACTTCTATACCATAGTTTGTGAACTCTATAACTTTCCGTACAAACTAAAAAAATACATCCTAATTTGGGTTATTTTCACCAAAGACATGTAGCCCAGAATACATCTCGGCTAAATATTTATGAAGAACAAATTATTTATTTGTAAACTTTTATAACAGAAACAAAGAAAAATGTGTTTTTTTTTCCAAATTTTTGGTCTTTTTTTTGTTAATTTAGCAAAAAAATAAAAACCCAGCGGTGATTAAATACCACCAAAAGGAGAAGCTCTAGTTGTGTGAAGAAAATGATAAAATTTTAGTTTGGGTACAGTGTTGTATGACCGCGCAATTGTCATTCAAAGTATGAGAGCGCTGAAACCTGAAAATGGCCTGGGCAGGAAGGTGTAAATTGCACGGTATTGAAACGGTTAAAGAACTACAACATAGAAAATCCTCAGTGATGATTTTTGCAGGAAACACACTTATTAGAGATAGAGTCGAAAGTCAGATTGAGGACCAGACATTTACCAACATGGTTTTTATGCGGATTCACCAATTAAAAAAGAGCAAAAGGAGTTGCTATAGGCTTCGCAAAAAAAATAAGGTTTGAGGTGTGAGGAGAGATTTAACGGATTTGGAGGGAAGGTTTTTATTTTTGAGAGGTAAATTACAGGGAACTGAGTGTACTATAGCAAACATATAACAGTCCAAATAAGAGACCAGAGAAGTTTATGAGAGAAGTGTTGAAGAGATTGATGGATTTTAAAAGAGGGTGTATGATAGTAGCGGGAGACTTTAACATCTGTACTGACCGGGTCGGATGGATACTAATTCCTGTGCGAGGATGGGAAGAAAGCAAGTCTTGAGAATGTTAAAGAAATTGTTGCGAATGAGTGTCAATTGGTTAGATATTTGGAGAATTAGGAATATGAAGGAGAGAGATTATACTTTCTTTTCGCATGTACATGAGACTTATTCTAGATTTAGATTACATATTAGTAGAACATCGATTGATAGAGATGGTGGTGGAAGTAGTAAAATTTGGAGGAAGTACCCTGTCGGATCACGCCCCAGTTGCAATGAAGTTAAGATGGGGTAGAGAGGGGAGAGAAGGATATGTATGGCGATTGAATGAGGCACTTCTCATGGATGAAGAGATTTGGTCTAAGAATTGAGAGGGAAATTTAATGGTTTTTTGAAAATGAAACGAGGATGTGTCGGTAGCAACGGTATGGGAAGCACATAAAGCCTACATTAGAGGTTTTACTCATTGCAATGTGGGACAAAAAGGAAAAAAAGAAAGAGAGAAAAGATAGATTATTAAATGAAATATAAATCTAGAGGATGCAGGCCTTCCAAAATTAAAAGAATCACAACTGAACTCTTTAGAGGCAGAAATAACTTCAGAGGAAATAAAAACAGCGCTAAAAAGCATGGCGGGAGGGAAAAGTCCGGGTCCAGGTGGATATACGGTTAAATACTATAAAAAATATAAAGAGCTTTTAATACCCAAGAGAAAGATCTATATGAACGCCTTGGGGAATGGGATGGAGATAAGGGGAGAATCTTTACAGGCTAACATAGTATTGATACAGAAGGAAGATAAAGACCCCTCGCAATGTGCGAGTTATCGACCAATAGTGCTGCTGAATGTAGACACTAAAATATATGCAAAGGTGCTGGCAAATAGACTGAAAGAGTTGATGCCGGAGTGGATACATGGAGACCAGGTGGGGTTTGTCTCGGGAAGAGAGGGTAGAGATAATGCTTTAAGATCATTGTTGATTATACAGGAGGGTAAAAAAGGGAAAACCCCAATGATACTGATGTCGATAGATGCTGAAAAGGCTTTCGACAGAGTGAGTTGGGGTTTTATGATGGACACTCTGGAAGCGTTAGGAATTGGAAATAGAATGAGAGGGTGGATTGGAGAGTTATATAGAGGGCCGACCGCTACCATAATGGTAAATGGAGGAAGATCGGAGTATTTTAAGATGTCAAACGGTACAAGACAGGGATGTCCACTGTCTCCATTGCTATATGTGTTATCACTGGAGCCCTTATTGTCCATGATTAGGAAGAACATAGACATAAAAGGAATAAGGATAGGAGATAGAGAACATAAGGTAGTGGCTTATGCGGACGATCTGACGTTTTATGTTGGAAACCCCAGAACATCACTTCCAAATTTAATGAAAGCATTGAGGGAGTATGGAGAATTGTCGAACCTGAAAATTAACCCGACAAAGACCAAAATCTTAAATTTAAACCTTAAAAACAGCGAAAAGGAAAAACTACAAGAGGAATTCCCATTCCTTTGGAGAGACAAAGAATTAAAATATCTAGGAATAAAATTATCAGCCTCAACTAAGAACTTATATAAGGCTAATTATATAGCCTTATTAAATGAGATTAAGGAGGAGCTGAGGAAAGTGGGAAATGGAAATCCATCGTGGATAGGCTGCATCAACTTGATAAAGATGGTAATTCTCCCTAAAGTATTATACAAATTCCAGATGATCCCAATCAGACTACCAGAGGCATATTTTAAAGAACTTAGGAAAATGATAATAAAATGTATATGGAAGAATAAAAAGCCTAGAATAGGTTATGAAACGTTGACCAGAAGTAAAGAAAGAGGAGGATTAGGGGTACCAGATTTTAGGAGATATTATAAAGCGGGGATTATTGCGAGAATCTTCGACTGGATTCATAATCCAGAGAAAAGTTGGGTTAAGATTGAGAAAGCACTGAGTGGAATAAGTTTAAGTAAAAATATTTGGGTACCTGCACATTACAGGGAACTAGAGGAGAGCACAAGCACGTACACTCTTAACGTTTTAAAAGAATGGGATTTACTACATAGACAAATGGGGTGGGTTTTTAATTCACAATTAATACCACTTAGGAACACAAAATATTTCATCCCGGGTAAGGATAGTATAGCAGGGAAATGGATTATAAAACAGGAGGCGCAACTGAGAGATATAACGGTAGGAGAGGAAATTGGGACATACAAGGATATGGAGGAAAGAAAAGGAGAAGTTTTTAATAAGATGGATAGACTAAGATATTACCAACTAAAGAACTTTTTTGAGAGCCTTCCAAAGCCTATAAGAACTAGAAAAGACTGGAATCCATTTGAAAGAATATTTGAGTCACGGGGAAATGGTAGACACGGAATGGCAAAAATACACAAGATATTAATGGAACTTGATATAGACACAAAATTAATTCACATAGAGAAATGGGAAAGAGATATGGGAAGAATAATAGAGGAGGAGGAGCAGAGGAAAATGTTCACATTAATTCACGAAAATATTAGCATGCGGGAAGTAGAAAATAATTATAAGTGTTTGAATAGATGGCATATCACCCCCAATGTGGAGCACAAGATGAACACGGAAATTTCACGGATGTGTTGGAGAGGATGTGGGGAAGCGGGCACGTGGTATCATATGTGGCGGGAATGTTCGGAAATACAGGTGTTCTGGCGGAGGATAGTTTATTTGATAGGGAAAATTACTAACATCAATATAGGATTAGATCCAGAACTATGTCTCCTCCATATCTCAGAACTCTCAGTGAAAGCATATAAGAGTTCTGGGATATGGCATTATTTGACCGCAGCAAAGAGTCTGATACCCAGGTTTTGGAAGAAAAAAGAGGTGCCAACTGAGGAGGATTGGATATGTAGAGTAAATCAGATTTCAGGGACAGAAAGACTGTACTATACGCATGAGGACAAGTTGGAGATGTATAATAAAAAATGGAAAGGCTGGGAAGAATATAGAGGAAAGATGAAATATATGAAGAGATAATTACCTGGAAGTGGGGTTAGAATTGGGTTTAGGAATAATGGAATAATATGGATTTAATCAGAGAAGAGAAAAAGTGGAGCGTGGGAGAGGGATTAGGGGGTTAGAGGTGGGGTATGGGAGGGGGGGGTGCTTGGAAAAGGAAGTTATATATAAATAAAATATATAAGGAGAGAATATGGTTTTGATGACTGTTTTAATAGAAATGTTTAGAAAATTTGTATATGATATGAAAAATTAATAAATATTTATAAAAAAAAAAAAAAAAATCACACTGTGTAGACCTTGATATGAATCGCACAGGAACGCACAGCACGTTCCTGTGCAATTCAGATCAGGGCATTGTGTGAACTGGCCCTAAAAAAGGAAACTAATGCAGCCACCACATCTAATGATTGGTTGTGTTGCATTTGATATATGTAGGTCTGTTTTGTGTTTTGTTTTTTCTTAGACTTACAGAGAAGAATTGTATTGTATGTACCTTATTTTTTTGCTCCATAAGACGCACCTGACCATAAGACGCACCTAGAGACTGCGGACACAGTACAGGAGATGACCAGAGACTGCGGACACAGTACAGGAGATGACCAGAGACTGCGGACATACTACAGGAGATGACCAGAGACTGCGGACACAGTACAGGAGATGACCAGAGACTGCGGACACAGTACAGGAGATGACCAGAGACTGCGGACATAGTACAGGAGATGACCAAAGACTGCAGACATAGTACAGGAGATGACCAGAGACTGCAGACATAGTACGGGTGATGACCAGAGACTGCAGACATAGTACAGATGACCAGAGACTGCGGACATAGTACGGGAGGTGACCAGAGACTGCAGACATAGTACAGGAGATGACCAGAGACTGCAGACATAGTACGGGAGGTGACCAGAGACTGCTGACATACTACGGGAGATGACCAGAGACTGCGGACATAGTACGGGAGATGACCAGAGACTGCGGACATAGTACAGATGATCGGAGACTGCGGACATAGTACAGGAGATGACCGGAGACTGCGGACATAGTACAGGAGATTACCAGAGACTGCAGACCTTTAGGGGGGGTACCCGAATTTGACAGATACCCGCTCCCAATTCCGTGGAGTTCTCGTGACAGTCCCAGAAGACTAATGGTGACCACTGACAAAGCGCAGCGCTTCTCGCACATGCGCAGTGAAGTCACAAGCTGTCACAACTGGATGCCCACACTAAAGATGCTGGCGCCTGAGAGAGAAGACGGCCAGTGAAAGCAGGACACTGCTGGACCAAGGAACAGGTAGGACCGAAGAGCAGGTTCTTCTACACAGTAGAACCGAGCGGCCGACCCGGTATTCTAACACGGCGGCGGTGGGAATACTGGGCCGACTGCTCCATATTCGCTCTATAAGATGCACGGACATTTTCCCTTATTTTTTTTGGGGAAAAAGTGCATCTTATAGAGCGAAAAATACAGTATTTGTAAAAAATATTTGATTTGCAAAAATCAGGTTACTTTGAGTGTTTGAGTACCTACTTCTCAAACAAATGCTGTTAAAAACTGTTTACACAAGCTGTCCTCTAAAACAATGAGAACATACAGTAGACTGTTTGTGTATGTTGGGATAATGTCCGTTAGCAATTAGATGCTTCTATTGTTTTTACAGGAATTCTGATTATACAGTGCATTTTGATCTATGGCATGTATGCTGCAACAATGCCATTTAGAGGTTGAATTGGGTGTTTCTTCAATTGAGGAGTATTGTTGATAGAGGGGCCACACCCATGTGGGGATGGTAACATTTTCTAAATAAAAGGCCAACAACAGAAACTGAAGGGGGACTCTATAATGGCATGATCCCACTGAAGGTCTGTGCCCAGGGGCGGACTGACAACTCATGGGGCCCCCGGGCAATAGGGGATCATGGGGCCCCTGTGTCCTTGCCCAAACTCAAAAGAGCCTATGAAAAAGGTACCAGGGGCATCTCATGGGGCCCCCTACTGACCCCGGGCCCTCGGGCAGTGCCCGAGTTTCCAAATGGTCAGTCCGCCCCTGTCTGTGCCAGAACATCACCTGATCCAACTTTTCACCCCATCTCCTGCAGCCGCTTGTAGAGCAAGCCTGGGGTCCTCATTGTCTGCGGATACTGTGAAGCTGCTATAACCAATGGGGTAATAAGTAAGCGCTGTCTTTAGTATGAAACGCGTTTACCTGCCAGTCTCCCACTGTATTTCCACTGTCTGTATTGGTTTTATCTTGGTTCATTAAAGTGAATTGTTTGGAGTGCAGCCGAATGCAGACATCCTTTGCTAGAAAGGGTAGTTAGCAGGTGTGGACTGACCATTTGGAAACCCGGGCACTGCCTGAGGGCCCAGGGTCAGTAGGGGGCCCCATGAGATGCCCCTGGTACCTTTTTCATAGGCTTTTTTGAGTTTGGGCAAGGACACAGGGGCCCCATGATCCCCTGTTGCCCGGGGGCCCCATGAGTTGTCAGTCCACCCCTGGTAGTTAGTGTTCATGCATGCATGGTATATCTGTCATTCTTGCATTGTGTTATATTGTTTTCCTATGACTATAATAGTTTGTATGTACAGCATTTTTATTTAGTAAAGCATATTAATACACCACAGATATTTTTCTAAGCTTCCTTGCTTTATAGCAAAATGACCTTACTAGATGCAAAGCAAAACATTGGTAAGCTGCAATAAATGACATTTTTTGGTTTTGGGTTTAATTGCTTCAATAATGGGCACTTTCTGCCCAGGCCAATTTTCAGCTTTCAGCTCTGTTGCACTTTGATTAACAAAATGCACAGTCGTGCAAAGCTGTCCCCAAATTAAATTTTTATCATTTTTTTCACACAAATAGACCTTTTTTTTTTGGTGGTATTTAAAGCGGAGTTCCAGCCCTTTTAGTATTTATTAAAAGTCAGCAGCTAAAAAACTGTAGCTGCTGACTTTTAATAAACACACACTCACCGTTCACTAAGTCCAGCAATGTTCTAACCAGCGCCATCTCTTCTCTCCTCTATGGCGCCGGCATCTCAACTGTGGGCACCAGGCTGTGACAGCTTGCAGCTTCACAGCCTGGTGCCCACTGCACATGCACGAGTCGCGCTGCGCCTCCTATTTGGTCTGGCAGTCTTCTGGGACCTGTGAAAGTTCCCAGGAGACTGCGGTAAGGAAGGAGGGGGCCAAACTTCCATCTGACTTCGCCACAGCGAACTGGTCCGGAAGTGGGAGTGGGTACCTGTCAAAAACAGGTATCCGCTCCCCCCCCCCAAAATGTGCCAAATATGGCAGTGGAGGGGGGGAGCAGGCGAATAAGCGGAGCTTCAACTTTTGAGTGGAACTCCACGTTAATCGCCATTTTGAATAAAAAAGAAACTTTTTCTTCATTTCTGTTATAAACTTTTGCAAATAAATAATTTTTCTTCATGAATTTAGGCCAAAATATATTCTGCTACATTTCTTTGGTGAAAATAACCCAAATCAGTGTATATTATTTAGTCTGTAGGAAAGTTCTTAAACTATAGTATATATCTGAAAATTGATCATTCCTGATGCACTGACGGCCTCATTTCTTGAAATGTCAGGACAGTACAAATACCCCCCAAATGACTCCTTTTTGGAAAGTAGAGAGTCTGAGGTATTTAGTAAGAATCATGGCGAGTTTTTTGTAGTTGTAATTTTTTTGCATAATTTCTTGGAAAATTAAGAAAAAATTTTGTTTTTACTTTTACACAATATGGTCGCTTATAGCAGTGAATTTCATTGCTATAAGAAAGCATTTTACTGTATGAAACTGAATCATTCAGTAAGTATTGTGATTAGCTGTGATTGGCCCTGTCTATACAATGTGATCTCTATGACCAATCACAGCTACCAACACAATTGCACACAATGAATGGCATCAAAGGAAGGCATTCATTGTTTACAATAAAGAATATTTAAGCGAGCGCTACCTTAGAAGAAAACAGCCGCTGGAACACCAAAAAGGCAACCGAACAAAACCTTCAAAAAGTATATCAATATAAGGGTGCAGCGCTAAAACATAATGTACAGCATAATACGTAATGTCATTTCATTACATATTATGCTGCACATTATGTTTTAGCGCTGCACCCTTATATTGATATTCATTGTTTACAATTGTCATGTGATCTGTTGTGATTGGTCATAGTGATCACAAGGGTACCGGCAGCGGCCTGATAAAGTGATCTGTCACTGGCTGTGTTTGGTGGACACAGCCAATGACAGATTGTGCCCACAGCGTGGTGGCACAGCCGTGTGCAAGGCGTGTTCCGGGAGGACATCATATGACGTCCATCCGGAACAAGGAAAGTCCCGCTTGGCCTATTGTAATATGACAGTCGGGTGGTTAATACCGTTTTAATCTAACTGACATTTTCTTCATCTGCTTTTCTCTCCAGAAGGGTAGTGCCATTTTTGTTCAGGTATCATCAGGGGCTAGCATCTGCTTTGATGACACAGTGAGTATGAAAGTATACAGTTAGTGCTTCTTATATACTTAACGAATTTGTGATATTGCTTGTTTTAAAACATGTCTTTCACTACTAGGGAGGTTAGTTTGCTGATCTGTGCTGCCATGTATTTTGGAAGATGTTATTTTATGAGAGCTGCTACCTAAAGAAATTCCCTTTCCTTTTTTGTATGTTTATCACTGTTTTTTATGTCTTTCTACATTCTGCGCGTGTATGTAAAACTTTATTTGCTGTCTTTGTCTCATGGGAGAAATGTTTTCCTTGCCCTTGCCTCTATGTTAGGGTTTCATTGGGAGAAGAACTAAGGCAAAGAACTCCCCATTGGAGACACAGACAGCAGTAATAATATGACTCTTCCAGGATTTTTGGCTGAAGTTGGGCTGTAAAGAAATTAGTAAAAAAATAAAAAAAAAAAGACATAACACAGGTACCTGATTTCAGCAAAGGTGATCATCTTGAATCTAGTTAAAAATAGTACAAAGAACAATGTATACTTCTAAAACATTTCTAAGCCTACCCTGACCGCCGGCTGTGGGAAAACGCAAATCACGGCAAAACTGCGGTATCGCGGTTGCCGCGTTTTGCCGTGATTTTATAGAGTTTTGCTTTTTCCCGCAGTTGGTGGTCAAAACGTTCCTATCCTGAACATGATTCTTCTGCATTCAGGAGAGGGAGGTTTAACCTCACCTAACCACGGCAGCTCCTAAACTCTGCTAAAAGCCTGTGTGTACATGGACACATAGGCATTTATGGAGCTGAATTTAGGAGCTTTGGCAAAAAAATGCCAAAAGCTCCTAAACCCGAGTCTAGGAGCTGCTCATATACATGAAGCCCTTAGACCTCAAAAAGGCAATCTTAGAATAAGGGCTCATGTACACTGCAGCTGCTAAACTGATGTTCAGGAGCTGTTGAGCATTTTTTCAGCAGCCCTTGAACTCTCCCTAATGTTTTCCTATGTGTCCATGTACAAATAGTCGTTTACAGTCATTTACAGGAATTTGAGTTTACAGTTGTTTTTTTGAATGCACCAAAATTTTGTTTAGAATTAGATTTTACCGGCGTTTCAAACACCAAATGCTTGTAAATGCGTGCAAACGTTTGTAAACGCAGTCAACCATGTTTACAAGCGTTTGCATTTAGACGTGTTTTTTGACAGGCCCATATTCAGACGCTGTTAAGAGCCTTTTTTCTTCATCAAAAATGCATGCAAAGCGTTCTCCATGTATTCAAATGGACCCGGTACGCCAGTGCAGTCAGTTCCAGGTTTCGTGTGAAGGAAAAAAAATGGTAGAACGTGCCGCGTTATGCTCATGATAGGATCCATAGTGAATACAACCAGAAAAGACAGGTCATCTCAACACATACTGCTCTCTCTGCTTCTGCTCTATCTATTCCTCTCAAAATGTCTGAAATAGTAAATTATTTACTGTTTTTCAGTGCATTCTGGGCATTTGGGAAGGTCTCCTGAGGTTATCTTTTAAAAACGCTTCTAAACGAAAACGTGCATAAACGCGGTATGCAAACACGGCTAAACTGACGTTTTTTAACCTATGTTTTCAGTCAGTTTTCAGTCATATGTTTTATGTTATCAGTCAGTTTCCAGCGGTCAGAAGAGTTTTCCAAATGTACATGAGCCCTTAGAGATCAGTGACAGAAAAAAAAATATTTGTACTTTGCTGGCTAAAGTAAATGTTTGCTCCCCAAAAATATTTCAAATGCATATTTTCTGTTTGTTTTAGGCATTTATAATTTTGCTTCTAAAGTGTGTACTGGTGGTTCAACTGGCAGAAAGGTTTTTGCATTTCTTACATACACATTTAAAAATTCATT